GGATCATGACCTGAGCCGAAGGCAGTCGCTTAACCAACTGAGCCACCCAGGCGCCCGGGAAAGAGTGGTCTAATAGCTAGACCTGCATTCAGTATTGTTCTGCAGCAAGTATACCAAGTCCATTCATAAATGTACATTATACTAAAAACAAAATGGTCTGACATATTATGAATACTTTATCTTTAGGCTCTGCAGCTGGCCTGGTGCCTCCAGACCTAGATTCTGGGTATGTACCTAAATATGTAACTGGTATAAAGTGACCTAAACAGCCAGGAACTCTGTGGGCACATCTGCCATGGCTGGGGAAAACTCTGGTCCATAGAGGAAAGGTGTGCATGTGGGAGAGTTAATAGGAGCATGGTCTGTGCTGACCAGATCCTGTAATAGCTGAGCCAACCTCAGGCTGCCCCCCCAGTGTGACTGCAATTGTACCGGGAATGTTACCTTCTACTCCCAGCTGATTGCTCAGCTCCCCTGTACACTTCTTTGCTGGGAACACACCACTAAGTGCTTCATCTGTAAAAACAAATAAGGACCTCTGCCCAGAGTCTAAAGGAAAGCATCCCTTTAGGACATAAAAAATAGAAATAGTAGAGAAGAATGCTTAAAAGCTCAATTCAGGATTCAGACAAGCTCTAGGTTTGAATCTTGCCTTCAAGACTTTTTAGCAGTGTGAACTTCAACAAGTTGCTTATTCCTCTGAGCCTCTATTTCCTTATCTGGAGGAAGGGATAATAAGTGAGAAGGGTATTGTGAGAGATAAACAGGATACTGATGTTGGGTAATTGCACAAGTTTCTGGCATATAATAAGTGCTTAATAATGACAGCTTTTGGGGCACCTGGCTGGCTTAATCTGTGGAGCGTGCAACTCTTGATCTCAAGATTGTAGGTTTGAGCTCCATGTCGGGTGGAGAGATTGCTTAAAAAATAAAATCTTAAAAAAATAATGATAGCTCTTAACAGTAGCTTAGGTATCATTAATTGATAAATTTTGCTGCTCCATGGGGAACCTGGGTGGCTCAGTCCGTTAAGCATCTGTCTTTGGCTCAGGTCATGATCCCAGGGTCCTGGGATCGAGCTCCGCATCGGGCTCCCTGCTTCTCCCTCTCCCTCTGCCCCTCCTCCCTGTTGTGCTCTCTCTCTCTCTCTCAAATAAATAAATAAAATATTTTTTTAAAAAATTTTGCTGCTCCATCATACTCTCTTTAGATTTTGCGGGGACCGCACATTCATGGTGAAATCTAAGTTCATCTGTTGCCAACAGATTTCCTTAGCCAAGTACATGAAGAGCAATAGTCTGGTTAGATTAGGGCAAAGGTGATGTTAAAAAATTAAAATGGCCTGGAGTGTCTGTCTAGCTCAGTCAGTGCAGCGTGCAACTCTTGATCTCAGGATTGTGAGTTCGAGCCCGACGCTGGGTAGAGAGCTTACTTAAAAAAAAAAAATTAAAATGGCCCAACCTAATTGTCTAGGCTGATGAAATTATTCCTTTCTTAAAGATTTTTCAAGCCAGGTTCCCAACAGTCCTTCAGATAAACACTTCTTATTACTACCATATTCAGAATTTTTTCCCAAGAGCCAATTAAGTACAACAATCATTTGAGTTACTGTTCCATGTCAGGCTAAGTACCAAAGATTCAAAGATGTAGAAGATACATTTTTTTTTTCTCAAGGAAATAACCGTTTAGTTGTTATTCTTTTACCTATGAAATCTCCCAGAATCACCTGCTCTATTCTATCTTTTCCCATATCCTTCAAGATGTTTCTTAATCTAGTGCTGGGTGAGAACTTCTCTCTCCTTATGTTTCCCACCATTCACCTTAACTTTGCCCTCATTCAGCTCCTACACAACTCAACCATATCATTAATTTTTAATGTTCTTTGTTTAATGTATATGAATTTCATCTCCTCAATCAGATCATAAGTAACTCTAGGGCATGGGTTTCTTTTTTTTTTTTTTTTTAAAGATTTTATTTATTTGACAGAGACAGAGATAGCGAGAGCAGGAACACAAGCAGCGGGAGGGGGAGAGGGAGAAGCAGGCTTTCCCCCAAGGAGGGAGCCCGATGTGGGACTCGATCCCAGGACCCTGGGATCATGACCTGAGCCGAAGGCAGACGCTTAACGACTGAGCCACCCAGGCGCCCTGGGGCATGGGTTTCTATTAGTTCATTCTATATTCCTGTAACACCTGCCATTCTGTTATTCCTTATTTAGATCATCAGTGATGACTGTCAATGAAATTTTATGAGCTTGTGCAAAACGCATAGTTTAACTTATCCCTCTAAGTAAGTTGGGTATGAGATAGATGGATTTGGGGCAAATGCTACTTTCCCATACCGCATCACCTGACCCACTTAGGAAATTTCCTTTCTCTTTTTGCCTTCTAATGTTCTCTCTTCCACAGTGTTGGAAGATCACTGAATTCTGCATGGAAAATGCCATTTCTATTTTTGCATTTGGTCTTGAAAAGACTTGAATCACTATCATTCACTCAGAAACCCCTCTAAAAGAGGACAGGGCAGCTGCTCGGCACATCTGAAATTCAACATCCATGCAGGTGGGGAAGCAGAAAGGATTTTGCCCCCTATCATCCTAAAGGGGAAAATCTGTGTCTCACCCTAGCTTAAGTGGTGGTAGCACAGTGCCTCTTAACTCTACAAAGATTCTCACACTTTGGAAAAACATCCTGATTTCTCTGAAATCACCTATTTGGGATCTCTCTTCACCACAGAGTTACTATTCTTGTCACTGTATTGTCAATGGGAATACTGGGACTATTCTCACACTGAAGCGCAATCCACAAGGTTGTGGACAAATCAGTAGTAACATTCACCCATCTGAGATTGTATTTTTTCAACACTTATTAAACTGTTGAAGAAAGAGCCAAGAACAGCCTCAGTATATAGGAAAATATCGTCTACCCTTGAATACCTGCACATGAACAGGGGTGGGTGAGCAAGGCTGAGGCAGGAAGGAAGTTTGATCGTGCTTACGCGCATGTGGGTGTGCACATCTGTGTATGAATCAGAACCTTCCCAAAGGGAGAAAAATGCTTAATCCTATCAGTCAAACTGGTAAAAGAGGTAACAGGCTTTGGGCTATTTATAGATCTTAAATTGGCATGTGCTGTACATATTGAATACTCTGCTGATCTCATTTTTTAGAGCAACTGAGATAAAGGAGAAGCAAAGAAAAGGTAATAAGAGATTCAGATCATGACTGTAATTTTAAAAATAACATTATAACTGTAGATGCCTGGAAAATTTCCCAGAGCCAGAGAATTAAATAAAACGGGATTCCATTTTGAAAACAGAGTGGAGATAACATGATCACTGAAGTCTGGGCGTAGAGGTGAAGAGGATTATCTGAATACTGTACTGATTTTATTTGATTTCAAGGGTGTTCTCCAGTGTCACTATTGCTCGGGTGCCAAAATGCCTCTGTGCTGCTGCATATAACATGGGCTCATCCAGAGACACTGATTCGTGGGCAACAGGACATAGTAAGTCCTCAAAAGGAACTCTGGAGAGATGACACAAATATATCTGGCCTGACCATCCCACTGCCCTTTCTCTGGGAAGAGGGTAAAGCCTCTACCAAAACAGCAAACGCTCACCCTCTGAAGTAAGGACAGTAATGAGCCATTGCCCATCCATCTCCAGGGCCTCTCAGGAAAGAGGAAGATATGTTGTCTAGAGATGGAACCATATTTGGGACCCTCTGCCCAGCAGACTGGGATTAGGGGGGTGGCATGGCCTGCACTGCACTCTCAGGTACACTCGGGCCCCCCAGCTTCGAAGTCTTCCAGCTGGGACACATTTTACCCATCAGTTTCTCCTTGACTCCACATTCTAGTCATTCTAGTTACTCCTATTTCCCTTTGAGAACCTCATAAGGTCTTCCATGAATGTTAAGAGATGCGCGGACTTGCTAGGCAACCAGAGAAACTACAAACTCTATGTTTAGGGAGAGGCACAATCCATCTCATCTCTCCTTTTCTTCCATGATTTATTTCCTCATCTGTGAAATGGGAATAACAGCACTGTCGCCAACCACTTTACAAAGAGAGAGTGCTGCATAAGATGAAAAAGCTACAGAAGGGCAAGGCATTACCACTGCTGTCATAGCTATTTTTGTTATTACACATCCCTGAGGCCCACAGTTTCTCAGGACATAAACCAACAGACTATCTACGAAGTAGGTCTCAAAAGCCTGTCCACAGCCCGCTAAAGAGATGGCTGCATGAAACCTTGCTAGAAATTCAGGTTCCCTAGCCCCACTGTAAGCCAACGCAATCAGAGCCTTCAAGTGTGGAGCCAGGAGACCTATATTTTCAACAAGCTTCCAGGCCATGCTGACCATCAGCCACGTGTGTGAGCCCTATCTGCTCCATTCCATGAACACTGGACAGAACTGCTCAGCCTGGTTTGAAGGAAGAGATGAATGACATACACAGCTTCCTAGACCCCTCAAACTTGACGAGTGGGGGATGGGTTACAGCACAGGGGAATGACAATTCTTTTCTTGGGGAGTAGGAGGCAAAAATAGCACTTTCAAGGGGCTAAGTTTCCACAAGAGGACCACCAGAGAAGGGAAGGAGTGGTGGGTGGGAAAAGTAATTGGACTCACCTACAATGATACCACAAGCACTGACCAATCCAATCTCTTTCTTCAGGGCTACTCCGCCCCCTCCGGAACCAGACTCGGGGCTGGCCTCCGACTCGCTCCCACCTGGGTGGTTCTTTTCAGTGTTGTTTCGGTGCCTGGCTCCTTTTTCCATCTTTCTCATAGGATTTCCACCTCCGAAAGGTACTCTCTTTCTAAATACGTGTGGGTGTAAATATATTTTAAGAGACTGTCTTTCAAATTGAAACGCCCTTTTCTGAAATAGGGACCACTCTTACCCTCTTAAAAAAAGACTCAGCCAGATAAAAAGAGAAAACTGAAAATATTCCTATTCCGTATAGATACTTTCTTGTCACTCAGGCTTACGAACAAGGAAAGGATTGTTAAAAGGGGGGAAAAAAGAGACATAGATATTTAAATATAAAAATAGAACTGTACCAGCTACTCCGGCTGGAATTTTCCTGAAGGGGATGTAGATCTTCAGAGACCTGGATGGTTCTGCAATGTGTACCAGGCAGTGGCTTATTTTAGACGCTTCAAAGATAGTCTGGGTTTCACTCAGCTCTGCCCCTAAGAAAACAAAGATTGTCTTTACCTTCCCTTAGCCTTTTCTTTTTGATGAAGATAAGAGTTTTCATTAACTGAAGGGAAAACAAGCAATCCTCTGGTACTTTCTTCTCTTCCAGAAAAACAACTGTGGACCAGACCGGTTTGCTCTAGATCTTGTCTCCACCTGCTGTGGGTTTGTTTTCCTCTCCCTGTCTTCTGCCTTCTGCTTTTTCCAGATGTCCTCTTATGTCTCGTTTGTTTTCCTGTCCTTGTTTTCTTTCTTCCAAGCTCCGTCCTCACGGCACAGACTGCCCCATCTCTCTAGGTTATGGGAGAGTGACTCTGGCACACACGGTTGTGCTTCCCTTTTAGCATGGGGTTTTATGTGCTGAGCTAGCTCCGCCCCCCACCTCCTCGGTCTCTCCATCCTCAGTCCGTCTCCTCCCTCCTCTTCAATTTAAATATTAGCACACAGCCCCCAAAGATCACCGAGAAGATGGATTAAAATATTCTGCTTTGTAATTGTCTCTCATTTTTCATCTTTCTCCTTGTGAGAAGTGGAAGTAAAATCCTTCCATGTCAACTGTTCTGGGAGAGTTCATTGGCTGGTATAGCGTTACAGGTCATACAGCGTTTGTGAGCTTTATAAATACGGGACCGGTTGTGCAGACACTTTAATGCCATCAGAAATACACTGGTGACTGTGCTAAAATATTTGTGTCCAGATCATTTGAGGATACAGGAGAGAAGTTTGTAAGGACCTTGTCTTCAAGTTTCTGAAAGTAGGAAATGCACGGCTGGGGGGAGGGGAATGGAAAGAATTAAGAATAATGGAAAAGAGGTTCATTTAGTATAAATGTGAGCTGTGAAGGGCATAGGTGAAACAGAATCACCACAAAGAGGTGGTAGACTTACTGTTCACAGCTCTTATTTAGTGTTAGCTAAGACAGGACAAAAATGACTCCCACCTTAGACCCAGGATAGAATGACACAAAATCTGTAGAATGGAACTTTTCACAGCTTCTAAATTATTTTTTGCATAGATAAATTATTTGAGAGACAGCCCGGGCAAGGAATGGGGAGCTTTCAGCACCTTTCTGACCATAAAGCAGATTGTTGATGTTCAGAGATGGCCAACTTATTACCATATTGGTATTGTGTCTTGGCTTCCCTGAAGAATTTTACCCAGGAACTGCTGCCTTATGGTGACAGCAATGATATCTATTATATTTGTAAAGTACTTTGAGAAACAGCAAAAAGCAATATAGCAGACTACACTATAAATCTAAAATAAAATTATTTTGAATCTGTATTAAATAAATTATGCAAAAGCACTTGATTTTATTTATTTATTTTAAGATTTTATTTATTTATTTGACAGAGAGAGACACAGTGAGAGAGGGGGAGGGAGAAGCAGGCTTCCCGCTGAGCAGGAAGCCCGATGTGGGGCTCAATCCCAAGACCCTGGGACCATGACCCAAGCCAAAGGCAGATGCTTAAATGACTGAGCCACCCAGGTGCCCCGCAAAAGTACTTGATTTTAAAGTGGGTCTAAAAAATAAAGGTCCCCAAGCTGACCAGTAAGTACAGAAATTTGTCCTCACTTTTTGGAAAATGTTCCAAAAGACTTCAGATTTTAAGGAAAATAAATACTTAATTGCTTAAAATAGGGATGGTTGAGCTATTGTAGCAAAGACTTTCCACATAAGATAAAGTCCAATCCACAGTATTTCCACTTTGCCCCTTAACCACTCAGCAAGTATTAAGAAGTTTCAAAGGTTGGGAGTTCAACCTCTTCTTCGAGATACAGCAAATTGAAAGCCTCAGCAAAATAAATAAATAAATAAATAAATAGGATTTTTAATAAAAAGAGCAGACAAGTAAGGAAATATATGGCACAAAACTCCACGGGAGGGAATGAGTCATGGCAATTTTGAGTTGCCTCTGGCCTTTCCAGAAGGACAAAGCATTGAGGAAAAATTTGATGGATTCATTTTTAAACAATACGATTTGAAGACTTCTGCCCAAATTTCAACATTAAGGTATAAAACAAATAATCTTTCTCCTTCTCAAATATGAGTTCTTTCAGTAATATTTATATTTCTAATTTAACTGATGTAGATTTAATATGAGATAAAACATGAATGTGCAAACTGACCACAAAATGGCAGGCTTTAGCCAGCTGAATTTATGATTAAGAAGTTAAGGAGGGGTGCCTGGGTGGCTCAGGTCACGATCCCGGGGTCCTGGGATCGAGCCCCACATTGGGCTCCCTGCTTGGCGGGAAGCCTGCTTCTCCCTCTCCCACTCCCCCTGCTTCTGTTCCCTCTCTCGCTGTGTCTCTCTCTGTCAAATGAATAAATAAAATCTTTAAAAAAAAAAAAGTTAAGGAGGATTACAGAAATCAAACACATTCGTGGGATGTGGTGGTACTAAGCACACCACTAAAATACTTAGTACTTAGTACTAAGGACTCTTCCCTCTTTCAACAGGACCATTTATTCATATTTTATGGTTCTCTTCAGGTTGGAATCTTTTTGTGAAATAAACCCTAGGGGTGTCAAAATTCCATATGACTCACACTGAACACAAGAGAGTACAAAAGTCTTGATGTAATATGCTGAAAAAAATCTACAGAAATGATTAACTGAAGTTTCTTATTGAAATTTTGAACACTGAATTATTTTTTACTCATAACTCTATTCTACATTTGCCTTTATATCTTTTATTCTACTTTCAACATTTAAATAGTGCTGCTTTACAATCTACACACTGTTTTATGCCCAATAGCTCAGGGTTTTTTTTTTCCCCCTTTATTAAATACTTTGGGTAGACAAGGCAGTTACTTTGCCTATTATGAAGATTAAGAAGCTGAGCCTCGGAGAAGCGTCTTACCTGAGGTCAAAGACAAGACAATCTATTTCTGGGCTAGTGGGATGCCAATAGTTTACACTTGGAGAGCTTTTCCCAGGACACTATAGCTACTTGCTGATGTCTCAACTTCTTTCACCTGAGGGAAACAGAAAGCCTTTGGTCAGGGCCATGTCCACATCTTGAGTTGGTGTCATAACTGTGCCTTTTAGAGAGCCACCTTGATGCCAACACTTAACATCTGCTCAGTGAGACCCACAGGACTTAATCTGCCCTCCCCTCCAACATTTGTCACCCCCTTCACATAGGCCTCGGTTTGGCCATTTTCCAACTGCGTCGTACAACTCTATTTCCAGTATCTGCGTGACTGTTTATTGTTGATTTGCATGCCCAAGATGGGGAGAAAATGATATTTTAACTACAGAAAGGGTGGGTAAGAGGGTCGTTTTCGTATGAATATGGACTTAGCAAGAGAAAGGCTGTATGAGGCTGACACCTACTGCACAAAGAAAGATACGGCACAGGAACACGCCACTTGTATATATTGAACAAAAACAGTCATGCTCCCATATATATTTCCTTTTTGAAACAACAGCTGAGAAGTATCTGTTAATGCAGAGGAATAGAGCACAAAGCTCATTTACTCCATTCTTTTTTTTTTTTTCCTTTGGGGACCCAATAGACACTTTATTCTTGTTCTTTCTAACAGAGCTGTGAAGTCTGAGATCACAAAGAGAGGACCCAAATCTCTTCCTGGAAGAAACTCACAGTCCATGCCATGCTCCCGTTCTGTTCTTCTACTTGCACCTACATGCCCAGAGTCAGAGAAAACCCTGGTTTTAATTAAAGCCAGCTTTCTTCCTAAAGTCACAGTGACCACTGCCTATGGTCAAACAGTCAAACAGTGGTTTCCTGAGCTAATGGTTCTGGGACCCTTTATTTCATTCAAAATGGAAAGCAGATGAAAAGTAGTGAGCAAAGAGGAAAGAAATAAAAAAGAAAAAGCCAGAACAGGTCAGAAAGAAAAGAAGATGAAATGAGGAGATATAGTTAGATAATAAGCCCTTTTTAGTGTATGCTCTGTTTGCATTTTGGACATATTCATAAGTTCAAAGGAAGTTGTATCTTCTAGGGTTTATGCAGTCCTGAGAATTTGGATGGAGCGGATCGTGTTTTGTTATGATGGTCAATTAATTCATGCTCTTCTGGAGATAATGATGAATCCTTGCCCTGACACTAGAGACAAAAATTCCAGCAGATTACTCTTCTGTCTGCTGCACTTGGCTGGATTCCAGGGAGCTAGCCCAGCGCTAGTGGGAAAGAAATAAAGGTGCATTTCCTGAGGTAGCTGCATGTCCTTAATTCCTTTGCTGGGCCAAATCTGTCTCAGGACCTTGGTATTCTTTCTAAGCATTTAGGTGACTCAAATTCTGAGTAAAACTTCCAGTTCCTACTTGGTTTTCACTGCGGATTTATGTTTACCAAAGATAAAGGCTCATATCTTTTAGGATATGGAAAATAAGTTCCCTGAAATTAGAGATTTATTTTGTTCACTGCTGTAACCCCAGTACTAAAAATGGTGCCTGGAACTCAATAACTATGATTGATTGAATGAATGGTAATGTACATTAATGCATAATAAATAAATTAAATAATAGCTGATGGACTGATGTGTGCATTAATTGTAGTAAGATGTAGTCCTCAGTGCTTGGAGAGAAGCTGGACTATAGATGGAGGAGAAAAACACAATCAAAGGTTTGACTTCGACGATCATTTCATATGGAACACAGATCTCAACCAGGCCCCCAACAATGCCTGGCATTCCTGCCACTGTCCTGCAGTCAACTGACTCTCTTCCACTCGCTTTCATTCTCTTCTCTGCAAATACCATCCCCCAAATCCTCTCTTGCAGTTGATGTCCTTGCCTATTGTTTCATGGAGAAAACAGAAAGGCAAAGAGAACTTCCACATCCTCCAACCACTAACTCTGTCAGTCTGCCTGAAGCTGTCCCCACATACTCTGTCTTCTCTCCCATAGAAATGGATGTGCTGTGCCTGCTCCTATGTACCTTCCTGACTTGTGCACCAGCTTCCCAGACCAACTCACCTACTCAGGGACTTCGCTCCTAAAATTATTCCCCTCTCTCCTGCATCATCAGTTTTTCACTCTTTAGGGGATTATTCCTATCAGCAAACAAACATGCTGTAATACTTCTCATAAAAAAAGAAAGAAGAAAGAAAGAAAGAAAGAAAGAAAGAAAGAAAGAAAGAAAGAAAGAAAGAAAGAAAGAAAGAAAGAAAGAAAGAAAGAAAGAAAAAGAAAAGAAAGAAAAAAGAAAACCCTTAACAACTTCCCTTTGCTCTACATTCCTTTTCAGCTGCCACCCAACTTCTTTGATCCCTTGTTTTTACTTCTTCACCTCCATTCATGCTTGAACCCACTACACTTAAGCTCTCATCCCCATCACTCCACTGAATCCATTCTTGTCAAGTCACCAATAGCCACCACA